GGGTTGCGAGGACTGCCAGGGGCCTGCCAGAAGCCTGGGGGGGGACTTTGGAGCAGGTGCTGCTGGGACAGGACAAGGGGGGAGGGTTTGGAACTCAAAGAGGGAGATTTAGACTGGATAGAAAGAAGAAATTTTCTACAATGAGTGTGGCTAGATCCTGTCCCAGGCACGAGATGTGGTCAGTGCCTCACCCCTGGAAACCTTGCAGGCTGGCTGTCCAGGGCTCTGAGCACCCTGCTCTAGTTGGGGGTGTCCCTGCTCCCTGCAAGGGGTTGGACTCGATGACCTTTAAAGGTCCCTTCCCACCCAAACCAGCCCATGATTCTTAGAGCATATTTTCTGTGCTCTCTCAGCTAGTTCTGTACCTGTCTCTCCTCCCAACTCTCAAAACAAACCCCACAATACCCCAGCATGATCAACGGACCACTAAACAGCTAGAAAAACAGAAAAACACCCAGGACACACAAAGTTCAGGTGCTGCTGAAGCTCACCCACGGTTCTATCCCAGGAAACAGCTTCCAGCTGGCAAACCCAACTGCCAGGCTACCCCCAGGAGTCCCACAGCCACCTCACAGGAGGAGAGGCCAAGCACCAACGTGGAAATTGGCAGCAGAGCCACATATCCCCAAAAAGATAAAGTCACAAATCATACAAGCCTCTCTCCTTTTGATGCTCTCTGAAGAAGAGCTCCTCAGAGCTGCTCAGCAAGCCAGGTACCAAGTACATCACTTTAGATCAAGCAACTCCAAACTAAACGAGCATTCTATCCCACTCTGGTGGGAAATTCCAGCCGAGGCAGAGGAGTGAGGCAGGGTGGCCCACAAGGACCCCTCCTTGAACGCCCAACCCCCCTCCTGCCACCCCTCAGCCCCTCCCTCCCAAACCTCAATGACAATATCAACACTCAAAAAGCCTGGGGAAATCTTTTAGATGCAACGCAGGCTCCTCGGACACTCACCCTGTCTCCTGAGGAACCCCCCCACCCCCCCTCCCTCCACCCCTCAGCCCCTCCCTCCCAAATCTCCACGACGCTATCAACGCTCCAAAAGCCTGGGGAAATCTTTTAGATGCAACGCAGGCTCCTCGGACACTCACCCTGTCTCCTGAGGAACCCCCTTTGACTTTCCCTCGGTAACTCTTGAGAAGATCTGGATAGAAAAACTCCGGGCAGCGCTTGTGGTCGGGCTCGAAGAGGGTGAGGGTGATGCGCACGGCGGCGGCGGCCGGCTCCGAGTCCGGGGGCTGCTCCCCGTCCTCCTTCCGTTTTGGCCGCCTTCCGAGACCTCTTCAAGAAGCTGCTGCTCAGGGGGCCGTGCAGGGTAGTGAACGAAACCCTGTGCGGCTCTGTCATGGCTACGGCCAAGTCTCACCCGTCCTCACGGCACGGTTCCCAT